AAATTTAATTCATTCACAGCAGCTATAACTAAGTGGCTGTCAACTTTTGCTAAATAACTTACAGCATCATCTACACTGTCTGTTGAAAAACCCAAATATTCTGCAAGATCGACTGGAGTCGTTTTAGAGGACCGTAGAGCTAATGGTAGCATTTCTGTTCCGCTTTGAAGAACTGCTTGATGAAATAATTTCTCGCTGTTTGAATGCAAATGTAAACCGACTGATATAGAACCAGCACTTTCTCCACTTATAGTTATCCTGTTGACATCACCTCCAAATGCTTCAATATTTTTGTTTATCCATCTCAGTGCTAACAGTTGATCTTTTAGCCCTTGATTGCCTGGTACTTCAGGAGTATCTAAACACATGAAACCATATGGCCCGACCCTGTAGTTGATAGCGACTACTATAATATTTTGTCTTACTAAGAAACTAGGATTGTATAGATATCTGTTGCCATCTCCGTACATAAATCCACCCCCATATATCCAGACAAGGACGGGTAGACGATTGCTGGATGAAGCCGAAAATGGTACATATACATTGAGAACTAAGCAGTCAGGAGTGCCAGTTATAGTACCTTGGGATGGCTCAACTTGTGGACAAACGGTAGTGTCATTAAATGCTTCAAACGTATTATCAAATTTTGGGTATGGTGTTGCGGCCTGAAATAAAAACTAGTTAAAATAAAAAGAAGTATCATATTATTTTAATATTTATAAAGACAATGAAAACTCCTATTTTATTTTGTACCATTATACCGGCTAACCAAAACCGTTGATAAAGGCTGGCTAGAGATTCAGTGTTGCCTGTTGTATTTCCGGAGCGATACGAAACGATTCCTTTAAAAATTAGCATTCTCCCATATCAAAGGAGCTAATGCGTTTGTGACTCCTGAGTGGTAAGCGTTTATGGGCGGTGCTAGTCCCTTTCCGCCAGGTGACTCGTCTGCTCGTTTACCCCTCTATTATAAAAAAAGGCAGTTCTCGATAACATTCTCAAAGAGCGTATCGCTAAGACAGTAAACTCAGCATAAAGTTACTACTAATATTTATAGCGCCATCTAAACCAGAATAATTAGAAATCCTCTCTTACTTCTTCCTAACGCTATCGTTAGGAACGTTAGGACATCAAAAAACAGTAGATCTATATCTACTGTTTATTGATGTCAGCTGTAAGTACATACTGGTGCTTATTCTGTTGTTTGAAAATTCTCTAAACTAAGCTTAAAATCACAAAAAAAATGTTTAGTCCCGTCAAAAAGGCGTTTTGTATTCTGAAAACGTAGTACTTGATAGGACTAAACTAATTTTTAGTTTAGTTTACAAAATTTTGGAACAACAGAATTAGCACCATTACCAAATGTAAATTTAATATATTTTTGGGTTCCAAATAAAGATTAATAAATAACTTGTTTAAAACTTGATCATGTTTATGAATAATAATAAATAATAATAATAATATATTTTACTACATTCACACAACGCCATCTAGTCCCAAACTAAGCAGAGCTTGTACTATGGGTACTAGACAACTGATATAAATACATATATACTTTTTTTTTGTAAATACATACATATTATACATAGAAACACCCAGACCAAATCAAACATTAAATGTTCATGCACACAAATGTTTGACTTGAGCGAGAATCGAACCCGCGACCTTTGGAATAGCAGTCCGTTACACAAACCACTACGCCAACCGGTCGTCAAAATATAGGTAGGAACAGATTTAAAGTACCAGTCCATAATCTTACTGTTGAAAACCAAGTACTAATGGCTGTCCTATTTAGAGACAGGTACTACGTAACATTTCTTTCCTTGCATTTAGTGGTGTTTACCTACATAACTTGTGCACTTAGATTAAGGTTAATTACTATGTTCTATTTTATACGAACGTTTAAGGTTAAAAATTACTAGTAAATCAATAAACAAGATAAGCATGCAAGTGGGTACAAATTTAAATCAAAAATACACACTCACACTAAAGGGATTTTCTTCGTCGACCTTTCCAAAAGGTATTCCAAGAAACATTGAGTAGTCACCATCGTCACCTCGTAGACCTTTTATTAAACCAACATCTGCATTAACTAATGGGTCGACCCTTGTTTGTCCAGTAACCACTTTAAAAATAGCAGTGATGACAAATATTGTAAAGAACATATTTTATTCAAAATTTAAATCAGACTAAGTTTTCAGTTTACTGTCTTGACTTTTATAACTACAAGGTAAAATCAGACTTATATTTTTGAGATATGCCTGATAAACATTAAACCTTGGATGACATTTTTGCTTAGTAACCAATGTGACACGATAAGATCTCATATCAAATTCATTTCGATTCTAGAATAATACAATGATAAGATGATTCTGTCTCATCCTGCCTTACTTGAGAACTCAGAAATGCATTTCACTATATTTATTAATTTATTTGTTTACACTTTAGGCAGGTACGGTACATAGGCGAACAGTTCGACGGGTAGCGGACAAAAAAAAAGCTCACTAAACGGAAACAGATGCACTGACAATTTCGGAAATGTGGTAGAAAAACTATGATGCATTTTTAAGAAGATTATACACTCAGCTAAATACGTTTGCAAATACGAAGTACAAAGGATTGTAAATAGGGCCATCAAAACACTTAGCTGTTGACTTTGACAAATATTTAAAGCACGCCTAATGGAGTTAGCAAAACAAAAGTCTAACTATTCGAGAGGATTTGGATTCAGGTTATATGATAGTCGACCAAGGGAAAATAAGAGTTGGCACAAACATAATTTATGTTTTTAACGAATAACTTAAATATAAAATTTAAAACATAATTTAAGTATAAAATGTTAAGTTGACATAAAAATTAAATATCAGAGTAATCTTTTATGGGGAGAGAGGGACCCAAATCAAATTAATAATAATAGTAAATTTTGTGATCAAAAGTTTAGAGAATTAAGTTTGCCTCAGGAATGTCAACATTGCCGTAATCGTTTATTTACTAATACCGACCATAGATGTAGTGAGCCGGCCCATTTGTGCCGAAGCATCTGAGATACATACATTTTTTACTGTTTAAGTTATCATAGGTTTTTAAAATTTAAATTGTCGCAATGCAATGTTATTTTTCCTTATGCACTACGTTATTTTACTATTATTACTTACTATTGAAATATGTACGTTTATTTCGGCAATACTGACTCGATTAAACCGCATTCTGATTACATTCTCGTAATAGTTTTGGACAAAACTATTACGTCTGTATCAAAATTAAACTTGTTTAGGAACGGGTGTCATGTCCCTCCAACATAAAGGGAGGATCCTCTGACAGGCGAGGTGATCATACTTGGCAGGCCCAACGGTTGATGTTGGGAAGTTGTAAATATGCTAATCGCCGAGGTAATTCTTCATATCGCGATACAGGATTAGCAATTCTCATTCAGTAGTTACTCCGTAGTACGTTTCTGTTTCTCTGTAACAATTGTTTATACGCCATTTGCAATTTTCAACCCGTTGTAGATCTCTGATAATCTGTTGAGCTTATTAGGGATAGTTGTCACTTAGTAGAACTTGACGGAGAAGTGCAACAAAAAAAAAGTGTGTGTGTGCACAATTCACATACGACAGAAGTAAAACTTTAAAAAAAACGAAAAACCCTATGAAATTTCGCCCTGTATAAGAGTCGAACTCACTAAGGCCGCGTTTTTCATATTTAACGCGAACGAAGTCGCGAGTACCAGCTATATTAAATAAAAAGATAAAAATAATCACACTGTCAAAATATTATGTAAAAAAATAATGTGTAATGTATTCTATCTCATTCTCTCGCCGAATTAATCATATACATTTATGTGTTTCTTTATTTATCGTGACGCATTTTCGTTTCATCGAGTTTCAAATTACAACGATTCTAAAGAAGTTTCACTAAAAACAAACGTATTCGAACACTGTAATGTACGGGTAATTAGACTCGTGCAGTTAAAATCTACGATATACCTACTTATTCTCATAGTATAGTATATTTTAAATCTTGGTCCATGTGAAACAGTTCTCAAATGAATTTGTTATTGCTTCAACCCGACTAAATTGATAATGGCAACTACTAGAATAAATATAAAGTGTCTACCAATAGGGATGACCTGGTTTTGACAGCTCATAGCGGCCATGTTTATGGATCTTTGACGTCTCTTGACATTTGTGTTCAGTAAGGTTTGCTATTTTATCATGTCACGTTTCACTTTAAACCAACGCTTGCAAATTGTCAAAAATTTCTTTGAAAGTGACGAAGGAAATCCTGTTACTGTGAATGGCGAGCGCTATAACTCGATGTTAACCGAATATTTCTTTCCGGAATTTGATGATATTGATGCAGACGACCTTTATTTTCAACAAGACGGTGCACCACCTCGAACCCGAGACCTCAGAACAGCAGTCGCATACGCTACCACTGATAACGTAGTTGTAAAATTTTATGAAGATAGATAACTAAGGGAGCGAAATACGCAGGACAACAGCACTGCAGAGAGAAGGAAAACTTGACACAAACCCTATACCAAGCCGTCTGGCCAGCGTGGTATAGTAGGCCAAAACCTCCTTTCTTAGGAGAGGCTTATGTCCAGCAGTGGACTATTAAAGGCTGTTGATGATGATGAAGATAGATTGAGGAATAAGGGCATGATAACGTAATGAACAAACTATTTTTTTTTTTACTACTACTAATTTAACAAAAATAGGTATTGTAATCGTGGAGGAACGGGTGTCATGTCCCTCCAACACAAATGGTCCTCCGACCAGGCGAGGTGATCATGCCTGGCGTACCACGGTTGATGTTGGGAAGTTGTATATATGCTGAGAGAGAATTCTTCATATCGCGATACAGGATTAGCAATTCTCATTCAGTAGTTACTCCGTAGTACGGTGTGTCTTCATTATATGGCGCTATGGTATGTTTCTATTTCTTTGTATGTGGAAGTTGCCACAAACTATTGTTAATTCCTAGTTTGTAAAGTATTATATTTCCGAAGGGTTCTGAGCTGTGAGCAAATTGTCATTATTTGCTCTATAGAATAGATCCCAGAAAGTTACTCGCCGATGAAAAGGGCGACCTCCGAGTGACAGTTGCGCGTCAATATTCAAGTAAGGTATCTGTGATAGATTCTTAATGGGAGTCCATTGTATTTCAATAAGATCCGATGTTTGTGGTGTAGGGTCACTAAAAATAGATTAAGATATTATTTAAAAAATGGAAACATGAAATAACAAACGTTTTCCCTAAATGTTAATAAACTTACCCATATTTAACGAAGTTAGTCCACATTGTTGTCATCTGATTAATAATGATTTCATCTTCAGGTGTCACGGGCTTATCCTTCATATAAGATATATCAAATAAATAACCCAATTCATCAGAATGAGTCGCACCAGTATAATTAAAGAAGTCTTTGAAATAATTTCTTTCCCCAGAATAAGAGAATACGTAAAAATATATATTGCCAGCTTCATAATCTAAATATTTGGAAATGCTTCTGTATGTTGGATATACAAATGTAAAATCTGAATCGAAATCAATGACATTTCTTTTCACTGCTCCACTCATAGGATCGTCACCAAAATAAAAATGACGAATTGTGTCTTCCATTCCTTTAAATTCATTTTCTTCAACATTGAATACCAATGCCAGACTATCCCGTAAATTCACATTTTCATAATATTCGTCTTCTAAAGACATATGCCGCCAGTGAGATTCATCACTGTTAAAGCCAATGAGGATAGGCATATTTTTTATTTTAGACAAATCTGCTGTGATCCAATTTTGTGTAATAAAACTTTCGACGCCGTCAAATTCTTTTTCTACGCATGGTCTAAAATTCAAATTTAATTCATTCACAGCAGCTATTACTAAGTGGCTGTCAACTTTTGCTAAATAACTTACAGCATCATCTACACTGTCTGTTGAAAAACCCAAATATTCTGCAAGATCGACTGGAGTCGTTTTAGAGGACCGTAGAGCTAATGGTAGCATTTCTGTTCCGCTTTGAAGAACTGCTTGATGAAATAATTTCTCGCTGTTTGAATGCAAATGTAAACCGACTGATATAGAACCAGCACTTTCTCCACTTATAGTTATCCTGTTGACATCACCTCCAAATGCTTCAATATTTTTGTTTATCCATCTCAGTGCTAACAGTTGATCTTTTAGCCCTTGATTGCCTGGTACTTCAGGAGTATCTAAACACATGAAACCATATGGCCCGACCCTGTAGTTGATAGCGACTACTATAATATTTTGTCTTACTAAGAAACTAGGATTGTATAGATATCTGTTGCCATCTCCGTACATAAATCCACCCCCATATATCCAGACAAGGACGGGTAGACGATTGCTGGATGAAGCCGAAAATGGTACATATACATTGAGAACTAAGCAGTCAGGAGTGCCAGTTATAGTACCTTGGGATTCCTCAACTTGTGGACAAACGGTAGTGTCATTGAATGCTTCAAACGTATTATCAAATTTTGGGTATGGTGTTGCGGCCTGAAATAAAAACTAGTTAAAATAAAAAGAAAGTATTGGTAAAGACAATGAAAACTCCTATTTGATTTTGTTCCATTATACCGGCTAACCAAAACCATTGATAAAGGCTGGCTAGAGATTAAGTGTTGCCTGTTGTATTTCCGGAGCGATACAAAACGATACCTTTAAAAATGAGCATTCTCCCATATCAAAGGAGCTAACGCGTTTGTGACTCCTGAGTGGTAGGCGTTTCCGCAAGGTGACTCGTGTGCTCGTTTACCCCTCTATTATAAAAAAAGGCAGTTCTCGATTACATTCTCAAAGAGCGCATCGCAAAGATAGTCAACTCAGCATAAAGTTACTACTAATATTTAAAGCGCCATCTGATTATTCATGGGGATACACTGAAACCAGAATAATTAGTAATCCTCTCTTACTTCTTCCTAACGATAGATCTACTGTTTATTGATGTCAGCTGTAAGTACATACTGGTGCTTATTCTGTTGTTCGAAAATTCTCTAAACTAAGCTTAAAATCACAAAAAAAAATGTTTAGTCCTGTCAAAAAGGCGTTTTGTATTCTGAGAATGTAGTACTTGATAGGACTAAACTAATTTTTAGTTTAGTTTACAAAATTTTTGAACAACAGAATTAGCACCATTACCAAATGTAAATTTAATGTATTTTTGGGTTCCAAATAAAGATTAATAAATAACTTGTTTAAAACTTGATCATGTTTATGAATAATAATAATAATAATATATTTTACTACATTCACACAACGCCATCTAGTCCCAAACTAAGCAGAGCTTGTACTATGGGTACTAGACAACTGATATAAATACATATATACTTTTGTTTTGTAAATACATACATATTATACGTAGAAACACCCAGACCAAATCAAACATTAAATGTTCATTCACACAAATGTTTGACTTGAGCGAGAATCGAACCCGCGACCTTTGGAATAGCAGTCCGTTACCCAAACCACTACGCCAACCGGTCGTCAAAATATAGGTAGGAAAAGATTTAAAGTACCAGTCCATAATCTTACTGTTGATAACCAAGTACTAATGGCTGTCCTATTTAGAGACAGGTACTAAGTTACGTAACATTTCTTTCCTTGCATTTAGTGGTGTTTACCTACATAAGTTGTGCACTTAGATTAAGGTTAATTACTATGTTCTATTTTATACGAACGTTAACCTTAAGTTAAAAATTACTAGTAAATCAATAAACAAGATAAGCATGCAAGTGGGAACAAATTTAAATCAAAAATACACACTCACACTAAAGGGATTTTCTTCGTCGACCTTTCCAAAAGGTATTCCAAGAAACATTGAGTAGTCACCATCGTCACCTCGTAGGCCTTTTATTAAACCAACATCTGCATTAACTAATGGGTCGACCCTTGTTTGTCCAGTAACCACTTTAAAAATAGCAGTGATGACAAATATTGTAAAGAACATATTTTATTCAAAATTTAAATCAGACTAAGTTTTCAGTTTACTGTCTTGACTTTTATAACTACAAGGTAAAATCAGACTTATATTTTTGAGATATGCCTGATAAACATTAAACCTTGAATGACATTTTTGCTTAGTAACCAATGTGACACGATAAGATCTCATATCAAATTCATTTCGATTGTAGAATAATACAATGATAAGATGATTCTGTCTCATCCTGCCTTACTTGAGAACTTAGAAATGCATTTCACTATATTTATTAATTTATTTGTTTACACTTTAGGCAGGTCCGGTACATAGTCGAACAGTTCGACGGGTAGCGGACAAAAAAAAGCTCACTAAACGAAAACAGATGCACTGACAATTTCGGAAATGTGGTAGAAAAACTATGATGCATTTTTAAGAAGATTATACACTCAGCTAAATACGTTTGCAAATACAAAGTACAAAGGATTGTAAATAGGGCCATGAAAACACTTAGCTGTTGACTTTGACAAATATTTAAAGCACGCCTAATGGAGTTAGCAAAACAAAAGTCTAACTATTCGAGAAGATTTGGATTCAGGTTATATTATAGTCGACCAAGGGAAAATAAGAGTTGGCCCAAACATAATTTATGTTTTTAACTAATAACATAACTATAAACTTTAAAACATAATTTAAGTATAAAATGTTAAGTTGACATAAAAATTAAATATCAGAGTAATCTTAAATTAATAATAATATTAAATTTTAGAGAGTTAAATCAAAAGTTTAGAGAGTTAAGTTTGCCTCAGGAATGACATTCCTGTAATCGTTTATTTACTAATACCGACCATAGATATATTATTGACAAAATGTTCAATAGAATTATTAATATATAGAAGTACGCGGCTACTTAATCTAGCAGTAGATGTGATAAGCAGACTAAGCAATGTCCTTATAAAAAAACTGTACGTTGTTGGGTGATTAAGGAAAACCGAAAAGCGGTTTATTGATAAATTATTTACAAAAATATATGAGTGAAAGACGTAAAAAAATAAAATTAAATTGAAATGGTGCATAAAATATGAAGAACAAATTAAAATGGATATATTGGCTACGTCACTTGATTTATTTATTCATTATTATATTCATACATCATGCACACTTGGTGCATTGACGGACTTAATGCCTAAGGCATTCGCTACCAGTCAAACTTTCGGTGATGCAGAGAGAACAGGAAGTAGATGCATTTTGGTGAAAGTTTGTTTGTAGTTAAAATATCAAATACGCGTACATAAACCTATCATACACTAGAATCCATACAAATTTACATACGTACATACATAGACTTAAATACATACGAGTATAAACTTACATAAATACATACATACCTAAATAAATACCATTAATAATAGTAGATGACAATCATACGTCAGTTGTTTTACAAAATACTGCTTCATAGTCCGACATATCCACCGGTAGGTGGTATCCGAGGGTATTGCCGGTTAAAATATACGCGGAAGGCTTACAACGCTCTATGTGTGCAATACAATAATGCCTTCAGAATGTTTTTGAGACTCCCATGGCGCTGCAGCGCGTCTGGCATGTTTGCTGAGGTGTGGATAAATGACTTTTATGTAATCATGCGTAAAATAGTAGCCTATCTTATGTATAAAGTGTGCGGCGGTCGCAACAGTATCCCGGAGGCGATTGGTGGAAGGTACGAGCGTCATCTCAGCCACCATACGACGACTGTGCTGGTTGGGTGAGTTTAGTTATCATTGATAAATGTATTTAAAAAAATTTGACCATTTAATAAAATGTTTTGCTATTATTATTTTTTACTTGATATATTTTAATTTTAAACAATGAAGTAATAAAATAATTTATTTTATCATGAATATTTTTTTATGTAAAATAACTTGATATTGTAGGTATTGAACTATTGTCTATAGAACCAATTTTCAGTAATGCATTGTTATTAATATGGTCACATTTTACGATTCAGTGCCTATTTTTTTACATCTATAACACCAGTTTCTGAACATTAAGATTAAACCTAGAATTTAACTTTTATAAAATATGAAATAAGTGATGGTTTGCGTTGATGGCTATCTCGATTGAAAGGAAAAACACATAAGATGGTTTTATCTCACAACATTATCATCACTACTCAGTAGTAAAAAATCGCATGCACAATTCACGAAATAACATTTTGATTATAAATGTGTTGAATTATAATTCTGGTGACTTGTTTTCCAGTTATTTTTATTAATTCATGTGTATTTTTACTTGCAGCTTTTTGTACTAAAATAGTAGAATCAGTAAGATTAATATATTCATTTGGATCTAGTAATTTAACTCTAGTACACCCAATTGTAGCAATATTATCATAATCATCATCATCCTATCGCAGTCCACTGCTGGACATAGGCTCCCATTGCACGCCACTTAGATCGATTTTGGGCTTCTCGCATCCAGCTTCTGACAGCCATCTTGCGCAAATCGTCACTCCACCTGGCCTGTGGGCGTCCTACAATACGTTTGCCGAGACGCGGTCTCCACTCAAGAGAAAGTCTCCACTAAAAGTCTAAGAGATATATGGTAACCAACACATAATAAATATTTGGGCCATTAAAATCAAACGTGTTTAGCAGACTCATAATTTAAATGTTGTTATTGATAAGTTATCGTTCGAACTTGTAATAATCATAGTATCTACAGCTCAATTTTGGATACAAACCAATCAGATACAGCTTATTGGTCAAGAATGTTATGCCATTTATTAATTTGTGTATTAATTTATCTATTTTTAAAATGTATATTTATTAGCCTTTTTTGAACACCTATTTATTTTTTATAATATATATATATATACAGTTAAAAAAAAACAGGGAAATGTACAAAGGCGAGGTTTGCTTCAGGTCAACACTGGGAGTGAAAATAGCACAGTAGAAAAAAATGTAATAAATTCGTACCGCCGTCGCCATTTTTTGTTTTCGTGTTTTTTTTTTATCGAAATTTGGCGGTGTACACACGCGGTCTAAGGAAATCCATATATTGATTAGATTAT